ACCCTTTTACCGTTAACCAATTTTTTTCGCCCTCTTGCGTCCTTTTCTTCATGCAGCATGAGGGAAAAGCCACAACGTGCCAACCACGGCATTTGCGTATACCCTCCGTTCAGCGACGCACTTCTGTCACGGCGTATCCAAATTCCAGTGACGCGCCTCTTCCACTTTCCTCTGGAAAGTGCTGGTGCCGCCGTTGCGCGTGTCCTCTCCCCGCAATTTTACTTTCAGAACCTATTTTTTTCTTTTTTTTCTTTGCTTTCTCTTTCCTTTACTCCTACGCACTTCACTATTGTTACGAACCTTTTTTTTTTGTCCTTGCCTACGCCGTTCTTGTTCTTTTGTTTTGTTCTTCCTTGTCGCTGATGTGCCGTCCCACTTGGGTTTGACCCCCCCAGTACATTATCCTCCCCATTTTCTTTTGTCGGTTACGTGGGGCGGGAAGCGGCCCCCTCCCTTCCCCCTTTTGTGCCTGGGCGCCTCAGCTTTGCTTCCCCATTTCTTCCATGCTCCTCTTCACTTCAGTTACAAAAGAGGTGACGGCAGACACGGCGCGGCGGCCGACAACGGGGACACGCTCGACCGTTTGCGGGATGTTGACTGTCTCCAGTAATTTTTGTGCCCTCTGCGTCACCTGGGAATTCTGGGCGTAGTCTGTGGCCTTCTTCACCCAGGCGAAATGCAGTAACTCCTCAAAGAGGGCCGTCGCAAGGAGGAGTACCGCAGCGATTACTTGTGCGACCAGAGTGACAGCCAGGTGGAGGTCGCGTTTCGCAACCGCATTCTTCCCATTTTCATAAATGCTTCGGAGATGCGTCTTGCTCCTCTCCGCCACGGTGCGGACTTTTGTGCGAGCCGTTTCAATTTTCGTCATGCAGGCTGCCTTCTTCTCTCGAAGTGTCTCACGGGTTTCACTGAGACGTGTGGTCGACCTATTTACGACTCCCTTTGCGGAGTCGACAAGGGGCTCAACGGAAGATTTCGCACTTGTCGCGTACGCCTCCACCTGCTGGCGTCCATGCGCGACTTTGCTCTGAACCGCCTCAAGGGCCGCATTGTGGTAGGCCTCCGCGGACGACTTGGCGTTATTAAGGACCTGCCTGCCTGTTTCCACGCACTGATCGGCGACCGACCGCACTCGCGCGGCGTAAGAATTGCCGTTTTCGCCGTTCTCATTCGCGTGGTTCCCCTCATTGACGTACGACGCCGCCGCGTCAATCACACCACAGAGGCGTTGTTTTCCCTCCTCAGCGAGTTGCTGCGCCTTCTGTTTGGTTGCATTAAATGACTCATGCGTCCTGGCCGCGGCGCTGTTAACCGTCTCGCGACCGGCCTCGGTGCAGTCGCGCACTTGCTGCGTGACTTTTTCCACCACCTCCCTCACTGGTTTTTCCACGGATGCCCTGGCACTGGAAACAGCGTTTCTGCCGGTTTCGACGCATTCTTGGAGCTGCTCCCCGACGATCCCGCGAGCCTTGGGCCCGCACGATGCCGCTGTGCTCATCGCCGCGTCTGTTTGTTTGCTGGACGAATAATTCCTTTTCGTACAACGATTATTCGCGGCTCTCTTCACCCTTTTTTATTTCCTTTTGCAGCTTCTTTTCACTCTGGGACTTTTGCTTCCCCAGCAACCCACTGCGGCACCGCAGGGACGCAGCGACGGTGAAGAGGAGGAGGAAAGAAAAGAAAAGAAAAACGGCGCAACGCGACATGTCGGAGAGGCAGCACACACACGGCAGCGTGCGAAGAAAAACCAACGCAAGGAACAACACACACTGAGACAGACACATGTATGTGTGTGTGAGAGATAGAGAGTGGGTGTGTTGATTAACCGGAAACAATTTTTCTTTTCTTTTCTTTCAATTTCCTCCCATACATTTATTATT